TCAAACAATGTGTGCAAAGTGAATCCCTATATTTCTGTCTGTAGGTAATTTCTGAACCAAGACACTGGGATGGGACCTAAATCCAGCCCAGTGTTCTCAGTGATTGAGGAAACAGAAATCCAAATTTGGACAGAAAAAAAAAAAAAAAAGACTAGAAGTTTGAGAGCCAAATCCCTAATGAGAAAACCATGCCGATAAAAAGGTCGATAAACCAGCACAAAGGTCTCCTAACCTGTTTGGCTACATATCGACCTTAGAATTCATAAGGTGGAATTTGACAGGCAAAAAGATGCTCAAAAAGTGAGAACAATTTCTGAAAATTGTAAGCCAAAGAATTGACAGAGTTCACACTGAGCTAGAAACAGTGGAGTTTCAACCAGAGGGAGTGATGAGTTCTTGCTTGTGGAGCTCACCTAGCCCTACAGTAAAAGGTACTATAGACCTGCCCTTATAAACATTCAAGATAAAATTCAAAATCTAATCGCCAAAATTTTTTGAAACAATGTAAACCTATTATGTGTGGCATCCAAAAACAAACAGATACAAAAGTCAAATTCTTTCCTACATACCAGCAATAAACAATTGAAATTTAAAAATTAAAAAATCAGATATACACTTTAAAATAGCACCCAAAGACCTTTTTGTGTAAATCTAACAAAATATGTGTAAGTACCATGCTCTAAACCGACTGAGTCACCGGAGCTCCTAATCTAACAAAATATTTATAGGTTTTGTAGGAGAAAACAATGAATGAAAGAAATGAAAGAAGATGTAATTAAATAGAAATTATATTCCATGTGTATACACTGAACGATTCAATATTAACAATATGTCAATTCTTCTGAACTCGATCTATAGATTCAACATAATCCCAATCAAATTCCCAGTCTCATCTGCAGTAAAGGTAGTCCAGCACCATAGCTTTTGTCAATTCTAAACCTGGAAAGAAATATAAGCATGTGTATGTGTTTGAGATAAAGGTTTTTGCTTTCCAGTAAAAGAAAAGACCCATGGCTGACCCTTCTAACCAATTCTCTCCTCCCTCAGTCCACAGAACACAGATGTGATGATTAGAACTGCAGCCACTTTGTTGCCCTGAGGGCAAGAATATTCAGTTGCGTTCACTTAACATCCAAGAGCTGTGAGCTGACACCCATACCACCTACCTATGAACATTTTATAGCTGAAAAAGTAACCCTCATTTGTTTAATCAATGTCTGTGTTATTTCCTGTTAACTTGCAGCCTGATGCATTCTGTTTCTGAAGAAGTAGATACTTTGGGGGGAGGAAGTGTCCCCCTCCTACTCCAAGAATTTTCATCATTGTACATGTACCTCCCAGGCAACAATGATGGTTCAAGTGTGGTGAACGCCGTCCTTCCTCCAAATTTTTCTAACTAGAGCTCACAGGGGAAAATATTTTTTCTTCTCTGACTTTAAGTACAATAGATAAACCTGGAATTCCCTGTGGAAAGTATATCCTGGTAGTCAGTTAGCTTAAGAAAATGAAGGTAATACATGAACAAAGCAAACCCTAGGGGAAAAAGAGACAGATCTAGAAAACAAGTGAGAAAATATAGGTTAGCATCCATGCTTTGTTTAGTTTGGTTATATAAGTTAAAAACAGTTTTTAAAAATTGGCTCACACTCAGTTTCTATTACTTGCAATCTAAGAGTCTAAGCAAATACAACTAAAGAAATTTTAAACTGTAGTAAGAGGTATAAGGGAAGAAAAAGGTGCTATGAAAAAGAATAAGGCAGTAGTTAGGGAAGACTTCTGAAAAAACAACTTTTAAGAGAAGACCTAACAAATAAACAAATCACAACCCAGCTACTTCCATCCCACACCATCCCTGACATGAAATGACAGTGTTTTACACACATCAGAGAAAGATTTTCCTGGGAAAGTTCCTAGTGTGGGCTAATGGCTAGAGATCTAGGCAGAACAGATCCTGAGATAGCTATAAACCCACCCAACAGAACTGGAGCTAAAAAAAAAAATTGACAGGCAACTCTATTCAGGAAAAAATACATACTAAATAACTCAACCTATAGTTAAGTAACTGTGTTTTTGTCATTATACTGAGAGGAAAGATATAATGAAATTAAGACAACTTCCTCATATTTCACAGAAGACATAATATTTAATTTTATGGGTATATAGCAGCTATCAAGAGATACTGCCTAATTTTAATATGAAATGTTCCATATCAAATACAATAATGTGTAATGTAATAATTTCATATGTAAATCAATATATAACTTACATGGTAACCTAGAAAGCCTAAAAATGGGAAAGTTATGGCTGATACATTAAGAAATAGCAAATATAAGCAAATATTAAAATTTTTGAAAAGCACTCAGGAAAACTTAAAATAGAGGCAGGGAAGTGTTAACCATTTTAGTTTTTGTAAAAATTGTCAGACATCGTTGCATTACAAAAACTTTTATCACACTATTAGTAATATAGTATCCTACAAAGAAGGGCGCCTTTCAGTCCTGGCATGGTAATACAAAGGGACAATAAATGCTGCCAGACCATAACACCTAGTCAGGTACAAAAAAAAGGCACAAGGGTGATATATAAACCTATTCCAGAATACTCAGCTTTTCTGATTCTTTGTTTCCACATCATTTTGGACTAAATGACCCATCTTTGTCACATAAACTTCTAAAGAGATATTCATTTCTAAAGCTTTAAACAATCATTGAGTCATACATACTCCAATCCACCCATACTTCATTTAAAAAAAGGGCTGTCTAAATTCACACCTCATTGGCAGGAGCTCACATTGGTATAACCTTTTCAGGGTATAATTTGGCAGTTCTCATTGAATTATAAAATATGGCTACGCTTTAACAGTTTCACTTTTCAAAATCTACTCTACAGAAATACTCCCAAATGTGCAAAGGTAAGTACAGATGGTTTTCAATTAAGCCATTGCTGTTTATAGTAGAGGAAAAGTAACCTTAAATGCACCTTCATCGATGCCAAACATCTTGTTGCCATTCAAAAAATAAAATATATCTGCTTTATGCTATGGTTGCATTAAGAGGTTCCCACAGCATATTATTAAGCAAGAAACAGCAAGATACAGAATAATTTATTATATAATTTGTGATATAGAGTATTCACACACATACACTGTTACCAACCTAATTAGGTGTACTGCTACCGAAGGGAATATTACTCAAGCTCAAAAAGCCAGACTGGCCCATGAAATTGTTTCCACAAAAGTTGCCTTATATTGAATGGCACCAGCATGGAGGGTGGCAGCAGTTACCATTATAAAGAATTCATCTTTTGGAGTGGTGAGTAAAGGGAGGTTGCACAGGAAAGAAAGGAATGTGAGGAGTGAAGGGTGTGGGGATGGTCTCTTCATTCTTGGCTTTGGGAGGGCACCTGCAGTCAGGGGCAGTCAGTCACAGGATGATCAATGACATTCCTGGAACAGTTGCTCTCTTCTGTTTTAAAATGCCCTGCGGATGTTCATCATGCACTGATGTCATCAGCATCCTCAGAAGGAACAAAATATCCTGTTAAGCATTAAGCAACCACAGCTCTGAGGAATGTGACACAGTTAACTAAAGTGCCAGGTTAAAGATCAAGGCAAAGGTCACCAGTGTCCCTTGTTCAGGCCAGGCCACAACACTGGGCACTGAGATGCATTAGTGGCAACACTGTTTTTACTTTGTATATTTCTCTGGTTTTATTTTTACAACCAGCAAGTATTGTTTCAGTATTTTAAGAAATCAGACAAGGCCTCAATTGCCAATTAGATAAGATTGGATTTAGAAAAATCCAAATAAAAACAATGTCTTTCCATTAGCTCATGCTCAAATCTGAGTAATAAAAAATATTTTAAAAACACAGTGATTAGGGGCCTCCCTGGTGGTACAGGGGGAAGTTAAGATTCAACCTAAGAAGCTATCCACAGCCTCTGCAGCAGAAGTTTGATACCCCTGGCCAGGGAGCTACCCACATGGCACAGCAGACCTCTCCTGTCTTGCCCACTGCTCCCCTCAGCAGTGTACTTCAGTCAGTCTGCCTGTTCTGTTCCCCACTCTGTCTCTGGTGAATCCTCTCACCCCACACATCTCTAGCCTGTACCCCAAGTCTTGTATGCATAAATAAATATATCTTTTTTAAAAACGCAGTGATTAGCATGTTGCAGTCTAGGTTTAGCAAAGAGGCTGGCTTCTCTGGTTAGATCATTTTTTTTTAGGGAGCTAGGGTGTGGAGGAACATATTGTAGAACTGTCTGTGGGCCCCACCTCTGAGCAGAATCATCTTCACAGGCCCCATCCTGTCTGTAGAAATCTACTGCCTGCAGGTAGTCAGTCTTTTCACACTCACCGATGTCCAAGGAGCCAGATAAAGACTTAACTATGGGAACCGGACTTTGCATTTTTGCAGGGCATTCATTCAAAGGGAGAGAATAAATGCTGCATCGTTGTTCTTAGGTCAGAACAACTTAGAACCAGAAGCTCACCTGTCAAGAATCACTACATTGTTAATATCAATGCCTCATTGTGCCTACCTGAATAAACAAAATTCAAACTTGGGTTTATTGGAACAGCTCTGACTGAGTGCACTGCGCTGGACGGCTACTTGGGCTTGAGTCCTTACTTTGATTATCTAATGCACTGCACCTTCAAGGCTATGTGCAGTTAACAAGAGCAAGAAAACCAGGGCACAAAAACACTTAAGGCAGAATTAAGGAGTAAAACCATGAAATGGGGATGGGGTGGAGGGTGTCAGGTCAGGGATAGGGAGCAGTGAGGACACTCAGGGTGCCGCTCAGGAAACAACCCCAAATGGGAGGGCACTGGGAGTCTCCAAAGACGCAAGGGTGGGGCCAAGAGCCCGCACCCAGGGATCTGGGAGCAGGAGACAGTTTGGCCAACGGAGCAAGGTCAGCTCAGGGAGACGGGACAGGCACCCGGGAAGAGCCCGGCCGCCAAGGGGCCCGGCTGGCTTGGTTCTGGGGCGCCCAGTACCTTCCCAGGCGAGCTCTCCTCCCGGCTCCCTCTTGAGGAACTTGTACCAGAAGGTGTCCACGCGGCCCGGCTCCGCCCCGTCCTGCGCCGCCTCTCCGGCCGTCAGCTCCACCTCCCCGAGCCACAGGCCCGGCTCCTGCAGCGCCAGCGCCCCGGGGCCCGCCGCCGTGCCCGCCGGCCTCATGCGCACGGCGCCGCGCGGCTCCCAGGCCCCCAGCTCGGGGCGCGACCCCACGACGAGCAGCTCCGGCCCGGGCCCGGGCCCGGCGGGCGGTACCACCACCCCGAAGCGGAACCGCATGGCGGCGGGCGGACGCGGCGACTGGACGCAGGCCGGGGCCGGGGCCGGGGCTGGAGCCGGCGGGGACACGTGCGCGCGGCCCCTCCGGGAGCCGATCACGCGGCCGAGCCGGGGCGTCGCCAGGCCAGGCCCCAGGCCCCGGGCGGCGGGCAGGGTGCGCGCAGCCCCAGCGCCTCCCCCGCGGCCCGGCCGGGCTCCGCGCGCCGAAAGGGGAGACTGTTGGGGCGGGCATTTAAGCAGCTCCCGAGCCCCGCGATTTTTCCAGCCGTGTTGCTTTCTAAGAGCCCCTGGAAATTATGTTGGGAGGGTGGAAGGAGGGAATGGCCTGCGGAGAGCAGCCTCGGCAGCAGTGAGCCGGGAAGCTCCTTAAACAGGTTATTCCCCCTCTCCGGCCTCAGGATCTTTATCTGTAAAATGAGGCCATAACAGAATGATCTCTAAAAACGCTGCCCACTCTAAGGTTCAGAAGCCAGAGCAGGGCCTCCCTGGGGGCGCAAGGGGTTAAGGCGCAACCTATGAAGCTGTCCGCTGCCTCTGCAGCACGAGTTCGAGCCCCAGCCGGCCAGGGAGCTACCCACATGGCACAGCAGACCTCTCCTGGCTCGCCTGCTGCTCTCCTCGGTAGTGTATTTCAGTAGATCTGCCTGTTCTGCTCCCCACTCTGTTTCTGGTGAATCCTCTCACCGCCCCCACACCTCTGGCCTGTACCCCAGTTCTTGTATGCATAAATAAATAAATCTTAAAAAAAAAAAAAGAACCCAGAGCAAATGCAAAAATACTTTGTCAGTACTAGGGCCATTCAATGCCTGAGATGACCTTTTTTTCCCAAATAAAATTTTTTTGCGATGTACAAAAGAGCTTTGGAGTAAATACCTCAGGTTATTCCCAAAATAAAACAAAACAAAAATTCTGTCATTATGAAGGTACAATTTCATAATGCTTTAAATGGTGTCAAATTAAATCCTTTTGCTTAAAATGTGTTTTCAGTAGGAATCACTTTTCAACGTAAAATATTGTGTGTAGAAACACCTTTTAACTATTTCATCAGAAGAAAACTACATGGGGAGGGGTGGCTTTAATTTTTGTCATTCCATAAAAAAACTAGCTGGCCTGGTTACATGTTTGTTGCTTTTTGGTACTTTGGTATAATTGTTCTGTTTTTATATTTGTATTTTATTAAGTACTTCACATATCTACCTCTTATGTGAGCTAAAGACAGAAAGACACATTTATACCAGTATTTGAAAGTATTGTAAATCATAAAGGGAAAGCCAAAATTTCTTTTATTCAAAATATCTCAAGTAAAAAAAGTACACAGTATGAACTATACAAATTCACTCTCTCAGTGAAACAACTAGTAAACATAATACATTTTACTCTTAAATATTGATATTCCACTCAGTGTTTGGTTAGTTGCTAAGATTAAGAATAAACACAAAGAAAAATGTGAAGACAGCAAGGCTGGCCAAACACTGCTGATTCAGTCGCAAAAACAGACGTTAAATCACAGTGGCATGTGAGTCCGGTTTGTTCAAGTTGCTGTTACAAAACATTCTGAGAACAATTTTAGGAAAACAGTCATTTGACCATGTAAGGACCCTGGAGCTGAGAGTTCAGGATTTTCTTCTCTTTGGCCACTGTGTCTGTGTTGTATGTTGTCCAGGCAGCATTGTTCCCACCAGCAACTCCAAAGTGAGTTCTGTCCGTGAAACAATCACCAAAAAATCAAAAACAATATATTTATTCAACAGACATTATTTTCCTCTTCTCTCTACATAAAGCTAAGTGAGGTTAACAATTGGAGGCATCCCCCACTAGACCCCCAAATAAGGACTTAAATATGGCACAATTTCGATGACTAATACATTGTGCGCCGAGTAAAATGCAATTGGAAAAATGAGCAACACCAAAATTCTGAATTTTGGTGGATGTATTTCCAAACCTCAGCCACAGATGGTCAATCATTTTGAACCTATTAATCATGAAAATTCTATCAGTCATTGAGCCCTTATTATTTGCGAATATGTGACTTTCATTGTCATATTATCTCACTTAATTCTTCCACCAATCCTCTGAGGTAGGTCCTATAACATACCCATTTTGATAGGTGAGGAAACAGACAAGTACAGCGAATCGCCCATAGCAAGGAAGGGGCAGGGCCAATGCTAAAAGACATCCGTTCAACTTACAAAGATCACAGATTGATACATACCTAAAAATAGGTGTAGCTAATATGATTTCTAAATTCATTTGAATCCAAGCATATTTAAATAAATTACTATACATTAGCTCTTAATAAAAATGAGCTCTCTACAGTTATTTCTGTAACTAACTTCATACTTAGAGATGAAATAGATGAATCACAAGTGGCATTCTGAGCTGATCAATGAGTCTATGAAGAGAAAACTACCTTAGTATTTAAAATGGTTTTGACTTCAGGGTCTAGAAAATATTGGGTTTTTGGAAAAGTCATGATGCATTTTTGCTTGAAAAACACAGAAAAAATATGTCATGACTTTTCAGACAACCCAATAGTCATTTTTCTGCCCTTCCAAGCCTGTCTTGATGGAGGTGGAAACATAGATTTAAGAGGCCAAAGTGAAGGATTTTACCAATTACTGGCTCTGTTATTTCCAGCTCTTTTTCCGAGTTGAATTCTCCATGTACATTTTTTGTACACTTCAAAGAATCATGGTCCTTATTAAGAGGGATTATTTGTGAAATCCATTTGAGCTCAGATTTTTGAGTCTATGAGGGTAAGATTAATTTAGCACAAGAATCAACTCTACAGAGTAACATAATTTTGAGAATTTTTTAAAAGCAAACCAATTTGTTGTTATTACATTTCACTTCTATAGTACTATCTTATAGATCACTACAATACTTCTTGAAGAATGAATGATAACTTCCAATTTAGAGTTTCAGGACCCAATTCTACTGTAAATCCTTTCTGAAGTCCCCTGAAGTCTTCAAAACTTTTAAATCTCTAATTTATGTTTTCTGAAACAAACTTTCACTATTCAATGAGTTAGTATAAATCTTTCCTTATAATATTGTGCATGTAGACACAATATCACTGTATTTCATCCACATAGTTCAGGGAGCATTTAAGTATTGGTTTATTATTTGTCAAACATCTCTAAGAGTTAAATGTGTCCCATATACTATTTCCAAATGTGTAGCTTAAAAACAAAACAAATACTAACATAACATTTCAGAGAAAATTTGAAAACAAATTAGAAAGTTGGCATATTTTAGCTAACATTTTTTCTGGCTGGAAAAATTGTAGGTTAGGATACTTGAAATCTTTTGAGAATCTGGAACGATAAAACAATTTGAGTTTTATTAAAGCTTTGTTCAAAAATCCCACAACATTTCTCAACTATTTAAAAAATGCATGTCTTTTTTTGATACATACCCAAATCTCCTATCTCCAGGAGATTCCAAGAATTCCCTTCCCACCCCATCCCACTATAAAGAAGCACTATGTTTTCAGTGAATGAACAACTACCAGTTTTAGCATGTTTGTTCTCTGTAATTTACACTATAAAAATAGTATTTTTTAAAAATGTTCCCAGTATAAAGTTAACAGTGAAACATGGGCCTGTTTAAAAGATACTGATATTGAGCCACACTTTCCCTAGCACATCCCACCCCACTCTCAGCATTGTAAAACTCACCTCTCAACCAGGAATCTCTGCGTAACATGGGTTCAAACCCGGGTTGTTAGGGGGCGACCTCAAGTGACTTTTCCTAGGGAAGAAAAAGGCCAACCCAGGTGGCTGGCCCTTGAAGTTAGAGACACCAGTTTAGAGCTTCCTTCAGATGTAAAAAGATCCTCCTAGGTCTGGGGTAACTTGAATGGCAGGTAGTTAACACCTTTTTCGAATTGGGTAGAGGGCTTGCTAACTCAACCCCTAGGAATAAAGAATAGTGGCTGGAAGGGATGATTCAAAACTCCCAAGGGACCTTTCAAAGTGGCTGAGAAAAAGAAAAGAGGTTAACTGAAAGCAGAGCTGGATCATTTATACTTAAATGAAGTAGAGGATTATGTGTGGGCAAGTGGAAATCTAACAAGTACTTATTTAGAATTGAAATACTCTGTAATTGTACATCACTCTTTACTAATATTTCCTCACCATTATATGTGTTTATGTTAAAAATAGTTAAAACATGAAACAGTTTAGGGTGCTTATGGGGAAATAGGGAGATCAGGGCAGGCAGAAAGTTGGTTTGAAAGCTTTTACTTCACTATCAGCTGGCCAAAGAAGAGGATCCTAACGATGAAGGTAAGGTTGGTAGTAACTGAAAAAGAGAAGCCTGTGGTGAAATCCTGTTTGCTTCAATGGGGAAATGAAAGGATAAAGCAGGAACTGAATAGAGACCCTAGGCTTCCCCTGAATCTCTAGTTCTTACTAGGGACTCAGGGTTTCCTTGGAAATGCAGAAATTGTTTAGGAGGAGGAGATAAGCTCATATTTTCAGCAGTGGAACCAGCTAGTTATGCAAAGACAGAGACTTACTGAGGTGTACACTATGGAGAATGTCAAGTATAAGTTTTCAAAATTACCCTCACATATTAATGACAGAACCCACAGAATGGTAAAGATGGTTCAAAACAAATTAAAGATACCATGTAAGATACACTGAAAAATACAGTTTACTAGTTTAAAACAAAGCTGATTAATTTCTAACTGGACAATGAAACAGTAAGCTTTGGGTTTATCTATTCTATCAGACAGTTGTCATTTGCATCTTTAACAAATAAACAGTCACAAGATTTAATACATAACTTTGGGGGTTGGACTCTAGCCAATAGTGAATCATAAGATAAACAAAGAGAAGAATAATCTTGTAGAGAATTAAATAATTCTCTAAAGGCCTGGTGGGCACTGGTTCAGCTTAAAGGACATGCAGTCAATCTTGCACCTTAGTTCTAAGTTTGGGATACTTGACAACATAAAATAATGTAAAATAACCCCCATTTATTGAGTTCCTACCTACCAGGAACTAGGCACTTG